AGCTAAAATTAAAAAAAAAGTATAGGTTTTTGGTCAAGTATGGTTCAGACTGGTCGAGTATTGTTCAGACCTTTGGTCGAGTATGTTTTAGACTGAAAAAAATGGTCGACGGTACAGGTCGAGAATGGGTTAAGACTGTTTCAGACTGGTCGATTAATAGTTCAGACTATTTTCAATGGCAAAGATAAGGATCAAGTACAAATCAGTACGGTCGAGTATGGTTAATACTGGGGTCGAGTTATGTCGAGTAATATTCAGACTAATTCAGACTGGTCGAGTAAAAATCAGTACAGTCGAGTACAGATATAGGCCATTTCAGACTTTTACTGGTTTGTAGTGAACCCTCAAGCAAATTCATCGTAAAAATTAGAATATGCTATTCTGTCTGAAATAAGTTTACCACAGGTACAGCCAAACTCGCAAACCGAATCTGTGTATCTATGGAAAAAATTATTAAAAGTTTTAAGTAATTTGTGGTAATGAAATCCTTGACTTAATAATTTACTAGTAATACTTAGATTACGTTCATTAAATAAGCAATATATGTACATTGTCGGAAAATATAAACTTTTATTTGTATGAGCTTTAGAAACAGGACGAAAAGCAAGGCTCGCCGAGCTTTTCTGCTGTTTCGTAGCGAGTACAAATCAATTTTATATTTTCCGACAATGTACATAAATTGTTTTTATCCTGAAATTTACACCCTAGACTTGAAACTTTATTTGTTAAAATTTAAATCATTGTCTCTAATTTTTCAAAGAATTCGATATAGTATAAACGCGGACCGCGAAGAGGACCCCAAAATGAACTGTTACGCAAAAAGAAATATCCACATTACCGCTTACTCAACATTGAAGCGGGGTAACAGGAGACTTTATTTGTACAAATAAAGCAAAAATTTATTTGTGTACCTGTTATTTGTAACCGTTTATTTGTACAATAGTTGGCTGATTGCAGGATAAAATCTAAAACGTCACTACAGACAAGGACATAGCGAACGAGTTAGGTATATAAACACCGCAAGACGGTGCCAAAGGAACATCACCGTCAACAAATAGAAAATTAACAATAGGGAAAGAAAAATCGTCCCTTGATTTCTTCGGACCGTTTGGAGCACCTCCTTCCGCCATTTTTGTTTTTTATTCAATGTTTGAAAATATTTCTTTTATAATATAAAAATAAGGAGATATGGTATGATTGCCAATGAGACAACTATCCACCAAAGTTCAAATGAAATGGATGTAAGCAATTATAGGCAATCGTATAGGGTCTTCAACAATGAGAAAAACTCATACTGTATAGTCGGCGATAAATGGAATATAGACATGAAAAATAATAAACTATTCCCGTGAGCAAAATAACAGCCTAGTTTATAACAAAACAATTTACGAAAAAAAAATATATATGACAGACATGTACCAACGACAACCATATGTGCAAAAAACGACAACCACTCAATAACACTCAATGCTCAATGCTCAATAATCAACTAATGACTTCGGACCGAGCTTTGGACAGGCACATATAGAATCATATAGAATGTGACGGGGTTAAACATGTTTGTAGGCGCCAATCCTCCCTTAACATGACACAGTGATGTAACAGTACAACATAAGAACAAACAATAAAAACAAGTATTGAATTTATGTATGTTTTTCTATCGTTTATTAAACGCACAGATTACTTTTACTATCGATTTTGCCTTGAATTCTAATATTTTCTTCAAAAATCAATGGCAGTCATTTCGGAAAAGTGGATAAGAGTACTATCTTCACTCGCAGTCGTAAGTGTATACTAAGATAGCTGTAAAATTCTTAAAGAGTAACCCACGAGGGGGTTGGAGATACGCTCTTAGCACCATCGTAACTTTCTCGTCAAGCGTTCGTAAGTTTTCTCTTAAATGAAACTTAAGATAGGTTTTCATGATACTGGCCCCCGTATCGTCCGCAAACAGCCTCACTATTGAGTGTAGGCCTTCTGGTAGGTCGTTAAGGTAGCACTCCACAGTTAGGTGTGTAGTTTCGCATTTTGGCCCCTGTGGATTTTTCAAATATGAGAGCTAGTGTGCAATAAAATTCATTTTTGGATAGCTGAGGATTAAAATAGCCTGCCTATTGGGTTTATATGAACATCAAGATAATGTAATGTATGTAATAAAGGCTGTTTTCTGTATGACAGTCCGTATTTGCATATCCATACCATACATTGGTCCGGCAATTATTGTAATGTTTTTTTTCCAACTTTTTGTCGCACGAACTTTGTAATTAAATTTTACGAAAAAATGAGGCGAAAGACACCCATTTTTTATTTGATTATTAGGAAGATTAATTTCAACAGTTTCTAAAAAGGTATCACTCATTGGCATTGAAATTCTAGTTTGATCCAAATTTTTGGGGGGATATGTGACATTTTCACCCCCCTTTTTGCAATATTTTATGGTAAATAAATTCAGAATGTTGCCATGGATACACATAGAAGGAATTATATTTCACCCTTTTAACTTTTGAAAATCAAATCTATGGAAGATACTGATTACATACATATGCACATGTACAACACAAACAGTTAGGTTAATGTATTAGAAATCCAGGAATAGGAGATGATAAAATATTTTGTGGTTCATTTTTAATTTTATTTTCTAACTGTGGAGTGCTACCTAATGTAAAAAAGAAAGAGACTGGGTTCTAAGACTGATCCTGGTGTTAATCCGGACTCTACGTTCACTTTTTCTGATATTTTGCCTTCAACACTGACTATTTCTTGGATTCTGTTGGTGAGAAATTCTTTTATTCATTTGTTTGATTTACTTCGAATGCCATAATTGTGTAGTTTATGGAGGAGTAAACTGTGGGACACCTTGTCAAAAGCTTTTGAAAAGTCCAGTATTAGCAGATCTGGTTGTTTTCCGTTTTCCAGATTTTTTGTGATATCATCGATACATTAATTCAAGGAGCTGACCAGTATAGTATAAAACGCACTTGCTTAAAAAACGATGGGCTTATGATACACGGATGACATTAAAAGTTATTCACTTTGTTACTTCGCTGTACGCTGAAGTTTCTTATAGTCTAAATGTTACTGATTCCCTTTATGGCGATATAGTAAAAACCATATAAATATCTGTATGACTGTACATCGGCTACCACTGTGTATATATATCAAATGTCTGTAAATATAAAAAAGAAGATGTGGTATGATTACCAATGAGACAACTCTCCACAAGAGACCAAATGACACAGAAATTAACAACTATAGATCACCGTACGGCCTTCAACAATGAGCAAAGCCCATACCGCACAGTCAGCCATTCATTTCACTATATACCAAAATATCTCTATTCACATTTATATGAACTGTCATTCGTGTACTTCTCACATCTAACTGTATTTTATAAGTACCATTAGTGAGGTATGTTTTATTGTCACATGATTTAGTAGAACTGAGCATGCCCAGTTATACAATTGTTTGTTGGACTGGGCATGCATTGTTTTACAATTTTCATACGATCTGTACATCATGCACAATTCCTCAGGAAATTGTACAAGTGAGCAGTTCATTTATGCATGTAAAGCAATGAAGCCTAGATCATCAAACAATTGTAAAACTGTGCATGCTCATGCACGTAAAGTAATGCAACCAGATCCGTCTTACAATTGTTAAACTGTGCATTCGTTTATATTTATAGATTGCCCAGTTTTACCAAGTTTGTTGAACTGGGCATGCATTGTTTTACAATTTTCATACGGTCTGTACATCATGCACAATTTCCCAGAAAATTGTACAAATGAGCAGTTCATATATGCATGTTAAGCAATGAAGCCTAGATCATCAAACAATTATAAAACTGTGCATGCTGATGCACGTAAAACAATGCAACGAGGTCCGTCATACAATTGTAAAACTGTGCATGTTTTGGTATTTATGGAATGCCCAGTTTCACCAAAGTTCGATAAGATCATTGCAGAATTGGATAAAATCATTGCAGAATTATGCAAATAATTGCTTAACTGTGCACTTGAATTAAATCATGGCATAATTATACAAAAAAAATGCTACACTGTGCACATGAATTAAATCATGGCATAATTATGAAAATAATTGTAAAACTGCACTTGGATTAAATCATTTCATAATCATACAAAAAAATTTAAACTGTGCACTTGAATTAAATCATTGCAGATTTATGCAAATAATTGCTTAACTGTGCACTTGAATTAAATCATTGCAGAATAATGAAATTATTTAATTGTAAAACTGGATACTTGGATTAAATCATTGCACTTAAGTAGAAACAAAAATAGCAAAACTGTTAAACTGTGCTCTTGATTGAAATAATTGCAGAATTACGCAAATAACTGTAAAACTGTGCACTTGAAAAAAAATCATTGCAGAATTATGCAATTAGTTGTAAAACTGTGCACGTGAATTTTTTTGGCAGAATTATGTAAATAATAACAAAACTGTGTATTTGAATAAAAGTCAGAATTATGAAAGTTATTGTATAACTGTGCACTTGAATTAAATGATTGCAGAGATATGCAAATAATTGTAAAACTGTGAACTTGAATTGAATCCGTGCATAATCATGCAAGAAGTTGTAAAACTATGCATTTGAATTTAAATCATTTTACTTAAATTCATCATGTAATAGGTTTTTTGCAGCATTTTGCTAATGGTGTTCAGAACAAATAAAACTTGCAGAATTGTGCATGTCCGATTAGTCCGATATTTGTCTATTTGGCCCAGTTCTACAATTATCTGTACCCATTTATACCTGCATTAGTTGGTTCTTGGTTGTGATTTATCGGTACAAAACTGTTGGTTGGCCCTTGTTTGTACTGAGTAGGTTGTTTCGTACAACAAATATTTTTAAAATACATATTTATAATTCAATGGTCAATCTACACTTTTAAAAAATAAGTTATATCATTGCAAATCAATTCAATATATTTAAGTAAAAACATTAGTAAAGCTACCAGCTCATATTCCAGCCGCAGCATCGCCATACTTCGTGTACTTCCGGTGAAAATAAGTTGTCAGTTTGACATATGCACCTTAATCATTAGGTAGGAAGATAACCTAAACTGAATGGGGATACACTTCTGAATTGTAAGGTGATAATTTTTTTATTTAATTTTTATCTGTTGTATACTGTTAAATGTCTATTTTCTTGTTTGATACATGCGATAAATTTATTTTTTATGACCATGACAACCGAACTTTTTTCTATTCTGCGTATGAAACCTGCACATACATGACATATAAGGGGGTCTCATTGGGGGGTCTAATCCCGGATCCCGCTTATTGTTTTGTCAGATTCCCATATCCCACTTATATTTTTTTTTTCTATAAGAAGTCGGCTTGCAAGAGCCCTCCTATCGGTATATCACACTTGTATTACCATTGGCAAGATATCAGGGAACCGATAAATGGCTTACTGTTGTCACAAATTTAGGAATGATACAAAACTGAAAAAGTTTGTCAGTGACTCGCCAAAGGTGGGTGGTACTCTGGGCGTCAAGACTGTGAGAAGCGTAACTACATGTCCAATAAACTGTGGGTAAAAATTGCGGCAGGGGATCTGGGGCCGCTGAATGCACCCAGAAGGTCTAGGGTAGATTTGAGAGTACTCAAAGTTGCTGAAAGCTAGTTGATTGATTGATTGATTAATTAATTGCTAAAAATGGCAAATAGTTCATGATTGTTCAGGACAAAAACAAATTTACAAAAAATATGGCGTCATGACATTTAGCCTTAGAATTAGCCACAGCAAGAGGGTTAATGAATGAAATACGCCAGTTGATCTGAGGTCCATCAGCGTAAATGAAGTGATCGATCAATCGATTCTTACTGTGATGTAATAGCATAAGCATTGTGACATTTATGGAAAAGTGCATGAATACGAAAGTCGGCAGTTGTTTTAATCTACCCCTGTCAGCAAAAGTGAATATCATTGGTCAATGATCGTCAATACATCTGAAAGTTTAGCTACATATATGTTATTGTTTTTTACATCATTATTTCACAGATTACTTGCAAATTAAACCTTCTTTACAAAAATGTAGATCAGAGCCTGTCTGAATATATTTTGCAGGTAGCAAAAACTGAAGGTTACAATAAAAATGATATTATTGTTACCTGCAATTTCCATATGAAGTCAGGTCCCTGGGTCCCTGTCCTGAAATACGTTTCAACAAGAAATCTTGTACGTAACAATAATTATTTCTTATTGTTACTTTTTGAAGGTAAGCGTAGCCAGTGCCTTTTTTTAACTCCTCAATCATCTGGCTAGTTACATGTCCACAAGACAGGTCAGGGTCATCACTAATTATATATATATAATGACTATTTATTTATTTCATGATGATGATGATGATGATTGATGATTGATGATGATTTATTTATTTCATCATGATGATGATGATGCGCTATCAGAGAAGCTCTGGTGCATGTTTGTTTACTTATCATAATAATTGTTTCCTGCAGCTTTTGGAAAGAGCATGGTAATTTTCTCAGAGGGCACTCTTGGCATGCATGATTGACTGCACTTTAAGGGTACCGTTTGTGTGGAGGACTACACTTTTAGGGCACCCTTTACAAGGCATTGTTATTAATAGGGATAAACCAAAATATACCATGGTTTCATATTTACTGTCATTTAACTGTTAACAAATAAAGATATGTATATTAGGTTAGATTCCTTCTTGTAATAAAACTACTGTAGCACTTCTAGACTCATCAAATAGAATCTTGATAGTGCAACTGTCTCATTTTATTTTACTCCAGTTATAAACTTTAATACTGTATCCCTGATTGTCTAAGGGTGTGTTATGAAAGTGTCAAGACTTGCATGTTGAAGAGCATATGCATTGCTTTTTATCTGCATAAAAGAATAAGTGCCAAATAATATTTGGATCTGACATGTTTATAACTGAAAAGCTACCATATAATCTTTGGCTCATAACTGTACAAAACTTGTTCATGTTGTTAGGCTATTCATCTTGTTTCCAGTTAATTCTGTCATTTTTTGATTTTTTTTTTGATTGACGTGATTGAAATGGTGTTGTTTTTGTTGGTACTAGAAACCTTATCAGTTAACCTGTAAATGTAATTGACTAATGATCTTTCATGAAAAGTTTTTTATTATCACACTTACTAAGTATTGGTCATAGAATACAATCAGACAACCATTTGACATCTGATCTATCACCCTTACTAAGCATTGGTCATAGAATACAATCAGACAACTATTTGACATCTGATCTATCTCCCTTACTAAGCATTGGTCATAGAATACAATCAGACAACTATTTGACATCTGATCTATCACCCTTATTAAGCATTGGTCATAGAATACAATCAGACAACCATTTGACATCTGATCTATCACCCTTACTAAGCATTGGTCGTAGAATACAATCAGACAACTATTTGACATCTGATATATCACCCTTACTAAGCATTGGTCATAGAATACAATCAGACAACCATTTGACATCTGATCTATCACCCTTACTAAGCATTGGTCATAGAATACAATCAGACAACTATTTGACATCTGATCTATCACCCTTACTAAGCATTGGTCATAGAATACAATCAGACAACTATTTGACATCTGATATATCTACCTTACTAAGCATTGGTCATAGAATACAATCAGACAACCATTTGACATCTGATCTATCACCCTTACTAAGCATTGGTCATAGAATACAATCAGACAACTATTTGACATCTGATATATCTACCTTACTAAGCATTGGTCATAGAATACAATCAGACAGCTATTTGACATCTGATATATCTACCTTACTAAGCATTGGTCATAGAATACAATCAGACAACCATTTGACATCTGATATATCACCCTTACTAAGCATTGGTCATAGAATACAATCAGACAACCATTTGACATCTGATCTATCACCCTTACTTAGCATTGGTCATAGAATACAATCAGACAGCTATTTGACATCTGATATATCTACCTTACTAAGCATTGGTCATAGAATACAATCAGACAACCATTTGACATCTGATATATCACCCTTACTAAGCATTGGTCATAGAATACAATCAGACAACCATTTGACATCTGATCTATCACCCTTACTAAGCATTGGTCATAGAATACAATCAGACAACCATTTGACATCTGATCTATCACCCTTACTAAGCATTGGTCATAGAATACAATCAGACAACCATTATACATCTGATCATGCATTGAAGATCAACAAAACTAAATCAGATATTCTCTAAACTTTGAATTAATTTAGATAACAAAAGCAAGAAAGTCATAGTTAATTCACATCCAATTCGACTTCTTGACTGACTGAATAATTAAAGTGTTCATACTTAACATGAAAATATATATACTAACAGCTGATTGTTTACTTAATGAAAACAGGTACATCCCCTTCATTTGAACTTTGGTGGATAGTAGCATCATTGGCAATCATACCACATCTCCTAATATTTATATGAATATGTTTAGGTACTTCATGTCTTAGCCTCTCATCCCTACCACAAAAAGATTGAAGTGTTCCCATCCCAACAAGAACCATTTATCAATATCATAAAAAATTACTAACCACATTGTTGATAGAGTTATAATTAATTCAATTACTACAATTAATTGTAAAGACCACCTTAAAAATTTCAGTCAACTGGGGGGGTAAATGCTAGGGGCAGTATTTACCGCCCAACCTTGGTTTTCCTGTCTGTGCATCCATTTTGTTGTTCTGTATCAGGTTTAAGTATTTGTTTTAGGTAGTTTACTTTGTTGTGGTCACATATGATCAACAGAAGGTGTGAAGTTTGAAAACATGTTAGTACATGTACATGTATGTGAAATTTTTAAAATATACAAAATTTAGGTTTTGAGCCAGATTTTGCAATTCCCTGAACATGGAAATGTATAGGTGAAAGTGAGGCATTTTGTTATCAGGTATATAGACACATATTGTTGTTTTAAACTTTAAATGATAAAATAATTTCCAAACATAAGAATTTAAACAAAAAGACCTAAAGTTATTTGTACATCAATGTACATGGTATACTTAGGCTTACATTACAATAATCAGTTACACATGTTACAGATGTAAGGGGAATTCCCTATGTCATTGCAGTCATGGTTGAAACTAGATAAAAAAATACAAATAAAAATTACCTGTTATACAAAACAATCATTTCTTATAAACTTTGTGTCTAAATGTCATGTAAACTTCCTTGGTGCTGGACATAGTATTATTCATCATGTCATGTAAACTTCTTTGATGCTGGACATAGTATTATTCATCATGTTCATGTGATTTATATGTTATTACTAGTAACAATTTAAACTTCAGGAACGTATTTCCAAATTTCAGATAACTTTTATTAAAATATGTTTTTATACATTTTATATATACATTTTTCTTGTATTGAAATAGGTTTTATACATGTTACATGTATATATAAGTCAATAATTTAACTGAAATGACAAAAATAGACGGGAGTAGTCAACATTTATGATGGTGTTCAATTCTTATGTAATTATAAATCTTCATTATTTATCCCACGATTTCTTAAAAACTGACTTTTTTCTCTACCTTTCTATCATCAAATCTCATTATATTAGGTAAAGAAACTTATTTTCTTTATTTACAAAAATAAATAATTTATGTACTCTTAACTACAAATTGTCTCATGATCACAACCTAATACCATCCAAAAAAAGTAAATACGTATGTCTCAAATATGTGTGACTGACAATGAATTTATTAATGTATTTGATAAATACATTCAACATCATAAAGACTGTCAGATGTAGTGACCATCTTCAGAATTTATTATACAACCATGACAACACAACTTTGATCAATTTGCCAAATTTAAATCTGGTATAATCCAGAGAAATCTGCTCAAACAGTAAGTGTGAAATGTACATTCAAAAAATGTACCAGAATTACAGACGGAATATGGACTAATTTTACCCAATAGGTAAATATATATATATATATCTCAATTCATCATAACCCCTAAATATGTTTCTTCATGATCTGTGTTTAAAACAAAACATTTTTTACTTTTTAAGTTTATAGTCATGATAGTGCAAATTGAAAGCTGTCTTTATCCTCTCAGTGCTCACTTTGATTCTTTGACATGGTCATGAACAACTGTTTTTGAAATTAGTTATAATGTAATGGGGGGGGGGGGGGGGGGGGAGTAGGGACTGGAATTTTAACCAGGACTATGACAGTAGTTTTTTTTAAATTTGATATATAATAATTTTGAAATCAAATGTAAAGTTTTCAATTCTTGCCAAACTTTTATAGATGTTATTGAAATACTCAAACTATTTTGTACAAAATAGTGTTAGGTACATGTTTAAGATCTAAAAGCAATCTTATGTAAACGTTATTCTTATATTCTCTATTTTAATTCACATCAATGACAATGATAAAATTTAATAAACAAATGTTTAAATCCTACTTTTTATATGTTATAGGTATAACCAAATGAAGCTATGATGTCTATTCTAACATCAGAGAAAGCAGGTTACATGACAGTGAATGAAGTCACTGAAACAACAAGAACAAATCTTGATACTGGCCTGAATGGAAGTGAAGTTAGTCAAAGGAGGAGTTACCATGGTTACAATGAATTTGAGATTGCTAAAGAGGAACCACTATGGAAAAAATATTTAGGAGAGGTACTTTAGAAATAAAATATACATATTAGCGGGTATGTGACCTATAAATGTTTTTGTATTTTCATTTGCACTCTGGTTGATAGTTGTCTCATTGGCAATCATACCACATCTCCTTATTTTTATGTACATTAATACATGTGTATGTTATATTAATTTGTAAATAATAGCCCATGTGTGATTTTTCCTTAAACATGTTAAAACAATTCATCCTTTAGTCCCTCCTTTTCCAGCTTTAGCTTTAGATTTATTGGAGATGATTATGAATAATAGGAGATGTGGAGTATACTTTAATGCTACAGCAACCCAACAACTCAAAAAACCTCAAGATATTTTGAGGTCAACATACAGTCTTAAACAATATACAGGTGTTTTTTTGCAATGTCGAGCTTTAAATTGTCATGCCTACATAAACAAAATAGACATATTAAGTCATCAATCTGTTGACAGTTCAGTAGTTTATTATTTCCAATGAGTAAATTTTAAAATTTAATTTTACCTTTGAAAGTGGTTTAACCAGCTTGTCCGATATATTAGAACATTTCTGCTACCAGGATCAGCAATTGTAATTGAGATGTTTATTTCAGGAATCAGTACAAATCCATTTGGAATTTTTAATGGACAAATTCCTGAAATCAGAGAAAAATCTTTTGTTAAACTGAACTTAAAGTATAAATATATCCTTTAAAAATTACAGAAGCACTGTGGGTGCATGGTTGTGTTATAATGTTTATGAATATTTTGTGAAAATTTCAGTTAATGAATTGTTGATGTGACCATGACCTTTTTCGATACCTCAAATCAATAAGGGTCTTCCATAAGATACTGTTAAACTAAGTTTTGTAATGATTGAATGTATTGTTCAAAGATACATGTATTATCCAAAAACAAATTTTTTCCACAAATTTCAGTCTTTAAAAACACTGCTGTGACTTTGACAAAGTGACACCAAACTGAAAGTGCATTATCTACCAAAGATTGGAAAGGGTATGATTTATGGCTAAAAAGATATTGTCTTGTTATTTCAAACTTCTTAGGGGCATTTTCCAACAAAGTTTTGTGAAGATTCAACATACATGACATAGGGTTCAAATATATCATACAAAAACAAATTTTGTTCCAATTGCAGTCTATCAATTTCTGCTCTGACCTTGACCTTTGACCCAGTGACCTCAAAATTAATAGGGGTCTTTTTCACCCAATCATGGGGTATTATCAAACCAAGTTAGGTAAATACTTTTCATCGATTGAAAGATCTTGATATAATCTGGAAACTGAAATGTTGGCACCACCCAGTTAGCATCCATCATATTATAAACCAAGTTCAAATATATGACAACTATGCTAGAAATAAGAAAACAAGTGTCAGTAATTGGAAGAAGAAACACAGATAGTTTTTGTCGAGCCTGCGACTTTTGTTGCAGAAAGCTCGACATAGGGATAGTGATCCGGCGGCGGCTACGGCGGCGGCGGCGTTAGCTAACTTCTTAAAAGCTTTATATTTTAGAAGGTGGAAGGTCTGGATGCTTCATACTTTGTATATGGATGCCTCATGTTACGAAGTTTCCATCAGTCACATGTCCAATGTCCTTGACCTCATTTTCATGGTTCAGTGACTACTTGAAAAAAAAGTTAAGATTTTTTGTAATGTTAGATTCTCTCTTATTATAAGTAATAGGATAACTATATTTGGTATGTGCGTACCTTGCAAGGTCCTCATGCCCGTCAGACAGTTTTCACTTGACCTCGACCTCATTTCATGGATCAGTGAACAAGGTTAAGTTTTGGTGGTCAAGTCCATATCTCAGATACTATAAGCAATAGGTCTAGTATATTCGGTGTATGGAAGGACTGTAAGGTGTACATGTCCAACTGGCAGGTGTCATCTGACCTTGACCTCATTTTCATGGTTCAGTGGTTATAGTTAAGTTTTTGTGTTTTAGTCTGTTTTTCTTATACTGTATGCCATAGCTCTACTATATTTGGTGTATGGAATGATTGTAAGGTGTACATGTCTAGCGGGCAGGTGTCATCTGACCTTGACCTCATTTTCATGGTTCAGTGGTCAAAGTTAAGTTTATGAGTTTTGGTCTTTTTTTCTAATACTATATGCAATAGTTCAACTATATTTGGTATGTGCGTACCTTGCAAGGTCCTCATGCCCGTCACACAGTTTTCACTTGACCTCGACCTCATTTCATGGATCAATGAACAAGGTTAAGTTTTGGTGGTCAAGTCCATATCTCAGATACTATAAGCAATAGGTCTAGTATATTCGGTGTATGGAAGGACTGTAAGGTGTACATGTCCAACTGGCAGGTGTCATCTGACCTTGACCTCATTTTCATGGTTCAGTGGTTATAGTTAAGTTTTTGTGTTTTAGTCTGTTTTTCTTATACTGTATGCCATAGGTCTACTATATTTGGTGTATGGAATGATTGTAAGGTGTACATGTCTAGCTGGTAGGTGTCTTCTGACCTTGACCTCATTTTCATGGTTCAGTGGTCAAAGTTAAGTTTTTGAGTTGTGGTCTTTTTTTCTAATACTATATGCAATAGGTCATCTATATTTGGTGTATGGAAATATTTTATGATGTACCTGTCAGTCTTGCAGGTTTTATTTGACCTTGACCTCATTTTCACGGTTCATTGCTCAGTGTTAAGTTTTTGTGTTTTGGTCTGTTTTTCTAATACTATAAGCAATAGGTCAACTATATTTGTTGTATGGAAGGATTGCAAGCTGTAGTACATGTCTGCCTGGCATTGTTCATCTGACCTTGACCTCATTTTCTTGGTTCATTGGTCAATGTTTAGTTTTCTTGGTTAAGTCTGTATCTTAGAAACTATAAACAATAGGTCAACTATATTTAGTGTATTGAATGATTGTAAGGTGTACATGTATTTCTTGTTTGGTTTATATGACCTTGACCTCATTTTCTTGGATCATGTTAAGTGTATGTGATAGTTGTAGTAAAGCTTTATATTTAGGACTATCAACATAATATCAATGATTAGTAAAGAAGGCGAGACATTTCAGCGTGTGCACTCTTGTATTGTTTCTTCTTTTATAACAGGCACTAGCCACTTCATATTAAGAAACACATACTGGTTCAGACAGTATGTTAATGTGTATTTTTATTTTATTCATTTTCAGTTCAACAATCCACTGATATTGTTGTTACTTGCTTCAGCATTAATTAGCCTCATTATGAAACAGTTGGATGATGCTGTTAGTATAACAGTGGTAGGTATTTATTATTTATGTTGTCAACAATTAGATATGTATAAGAATTATTTCCTACTCTATAATCATATATCACCTAAATTTTTAGGCCAAGCAGACAAAAGTTTTGTTGCAATAAGTTTTTATTGTCATAGTTAATATATTTAAAGTTAAACTATATAATTGAAAGCATATTAAAGGCACAAGAAGAAATATGAAAGACAGTGAAAAGATATTGTAGTGAAAAAGAAAATAAATAAAGTCTAAAATCTATCTGGTGGCATTATACCCCAAAAATGACAGTGTAGGTACAAAACAAGTTGAACAAAGAGGACAACTTCTAAACTTTTGATATCTGACTTTGGACTGGCACAATTTAATGTTATGAGGTTTAACTAGTTTAAAAATTCGTGTTTTCTTATTTGTAAGATTAAAACATTTTGTTTACATTGTAGGCTATTATAATTGTGGTGACAGTAGCTTTTGTACAGGTATGTGTATTTTGGACGTATATATTCATGTGTATCACTAATTGATTACCGGTACTTAATTAACTTTTAGTGATAAATATTTCATGGACATTCGGGTCAGTAACCCTCATTGCTTGTTAAGTTGAATATATTTTTTTATGTTTAATTTTGTTAGCATGTAAAAACACTGACTATATTACTTTTGGTATTATGTTATAAAGTTTAAATTGAAGATTATTGACACTTTATTCCTTAGTTTTGTAACTGCTTTATATATAAACAGTGGAATTATTTATCTATTAAGTAAACATAGTGTAGATTCATTATTATTCTTGGGATACCAATTTTTGTGGATTTCATGGGTAAAGATCAACCAAAAATATGGAGTACAAACTTTCTATAGACTTATATGCTGACTTTGGTGAATTCCCCAAAAAAATATCCAAGAAAATACAATTGTCCTCAATCTGCTAACCTAGTAATTATGAATACCATATGTTTTTTGAAGTGAATAACCAATTTTAAGATAATATACAATTACTGTCTTTTGATGAGGTAAATGTGTGATTTTATTGACTTTTGAAAAACTGATATTCACTGAGGCCAACGGCCGATGTGAATGTCACTAGGTTTTTCAAAAGTCAATCAAACCACATATTTACCGAAACAAAAGACAATAATTGTTTTATTCCATGTTCCGAGCGAGAAAAATATGTATAAAATAACAGTTATTTACCAAAACCAACTAAACGTCAAACATTGTATCGTTATTATACATGTAAAAGCACGCAACATTTTGCACGGTGAATATACTTTTTTTCGCAGGTGAATATGCTTATTTATTCAAAATCCCATTCATATAAAAAAACCTACTAAAGTTCTATCAATATGGAATAACATGTTTTATTGTTTTGTAGGAGTACAGATCTGAGAAATCACTAGAAGCCTTGGCTAAACTTGTTCCTCCCCAGTGTCATTGGTGAGTAGCATTTGAAAATGAACTAAATTTAATAGAAGATAAACTGCTGCTGTTCGGAAAATTTTTTTTTTTGAATTTTTCAAATTTTTACTTAAGTGTAATTATGCGCACATAGCTATATAGTTACATGAACATGTGAAGGCTATTTTTTTCCATAAAGTCGATTGTTTTCCTCCTTCACAAAGGGATCATTTCTATCTACTTGTGTCATTGAATTGTCTGTGTCATACTTTGTATGTCTTCATTCTCTTGAAATGCACTTGACAGAATTTAATCAAACGTGCACAGATTTTTCTAAATGACCCTGCTGTTTTAATTTTTGATTTGAGTAATTTTTTTGGTTTCTTAAACCAAAACTTTTCTGTCTATATTATTTGGAACAGCAGGCATAACATTTTCCCTTGGAAGATTCAACCATTTCTTACTGGAAAACAATTGCTTTTCATACACTTAAATCATATTGTATATGAAGCTATTTTTTAAAATGAATGCAACGATACAAGTTCTTATTTACTGTACCAAGGTTCAAATTTTATTAAATAATGTAAGATTGAATCCTGGCCTTTCGGTCATAAAACTTTACTCTGTACTTGAGTACAAAATGTTTGCTCAAAACACAGAATCCAGTAATTTGGTTGATTGATTTATGAGTCTGAGTACAATAATCATACTCAAAATGTTTATGACCACAAGGCCTTGTCTCTTATATGTGTTTCAGACTTTCCACTTAAGAAATCATTGAACAATATTACAATTTGATGGATGTTACATTCATGGTTTTGAAAAACTGCAAAATCCACAGAAATTTGTTTTCCCCATATCAAAGTGCTATCACAATTATCAAAGAGAAATATCATGTACTAATTGTTTTTTTTTAAATTTTTACCAGTTTGAGAAATGGTCAGATAGAGACATTTTTAGCCAGAGAATTAGTTCCTGGTGATGTAGTACATTTAATGGTTGGAGACAGAGTTCCTGCAGATCTTCGTCTTTTTGAGGTAAAACAACGATATGTCTGTTGAATGATGAGCTTCAATTGTTAGGCTATTACCCTGTTGAATTTAAGCAAACATAATTCAGTGTAAGGAATTTGTACAACCTTGTTGAATTTTTCAAACTTTTGCCGTTTTGGGTTAAAAAATTACGATTTTGGGTCAAAAAGTAAAATTTCGAGAATTTCATCTCTCTAATGCCGAAAATTTGCAAATTTTGATTTTTTATGAAGAAAAAATGATCAAAACATTAACAAAACTGTGTCCATGGTGTAAGTGAATAATATAACAGTCAAGGGTGTAACCTGAATAAGTTATTAGAGAAAAAATAACATACATGTGTTATTACGGATACTTTCTCTAATCTGTAGTAACATAGGTTTGTTATCAGTTAAATGTACCATAAAATTTTTTATTTTCAGTGGGCACTTAGGAATTCTAGAAACTTGCGCAGTAACTTAATACATAACCTTAAAAACTAATTTTCCAATTCAATTAATACATTTTTGATCAACCATGGTAAATCAGTGAGACAAGGCTTTTAAGTGATAACTTAGCTGTAATAACAAGGCTTAGTTATTACAGCCATTTAACATACATGAGACACTTGGGAATGACTAGGAAGCTTGTGCAGAACCTCATTACATGCTCTTATCATTATTTATTACAATAAATAAAAATACATTGTGATATATGTAGGAGAAAAGGCTTTGAAGAGATGTAGAGAAGCTGTAATAACACCCTTTAGTTATTACAGGCATATTTTTTCTGTAATAACATGGGTGTGTTATGCATGATTGGCAAACTATGGGCTGTTATATCTTTCTAAAGTTTAATATACATAAAGACAATTATAATATCAATAGAACTAGTACACAATTTAACAAATTAAAGGATGTATAATGCCCCTTTGAAACATGTAACATACATATGTTATCACAGATTTTTGATTTTTTAGCCCTCAATAACAAATGTATGTTATTTTTTTCTAATAACTTATTTAAGTTAGACCTTTGACTGTATAAAGACATAAATAACTACAGACAAGTTTTTATTGATATTTAATATGAAGATCTCCCACTTGTGTCATAATAGCCAGGGAAGCTATCGTCTCAGAGTAGCTTCTGTCAGGCCGGCTATCGGTGAAAGGGTTAATTAAGTAAAGCATTTGAAATTCTTAAAATGAAGGTATAAAATTCAACTTTATATACAGTCATCTGTCTTGTGTAAGTTGTAATGTGTCACTTTAAATGACTTAAAAGTTTTTGGTAAGAATTCACTGATTGTACCTTTGTGTATAGTCAGTCATAGTTGTACATCATAAATGAACAATATTACATTGTTAATAGTTTAAAGTCAGTGACTTCATTAATCTTAAAAGTAGAAATAACATTGATTTGGTAACTATTTAACAGTACATGACAGGAGTTAATTGACTTCTTTTAGTCACTTAGTACAAAATCCAATGTCTTTTGTAGAGTTCCAACTCTCAGTTTCTTAATATCTATTTTTGTCATTGCTTTTTTTGTACACAAGAAATATAGAATAAAACAATACTACACTCCTACCATATGTTTTCATTTATTTTTTCCAGGCCAATAATTTATTGGTAGATGAATCAAGCTTTACAGGTGAATGTATGCCAAACTTAAAGACGACAAAGGAAATGAAGAATGGGCATGAAAATGATAATGAGATTCAAGAATACCCTTGTATAACATTCATGGGGACCATGGTTAATGCTGGCAGAGGAAAGGTAACAAATTTATATGAAAATAACCATGTATTGTTAAATAAGAATTACAATTTTCAATGTATAAATCAAAAGTACGTTGCAGTAGAAATGTTTAAGCTGCAAAAAATATAAATTTTTACAATGGCAATGACCAATTTTTCTAAATTTTCCCATTTTTGGAAAATCACTTCAAGATGTCTTTTTGTTTTTCTGTATACTGGAATTTATATCATAGAATATTTTTGATAGAAACAGCTATCATACATATCCATGATTGTTTTTCTTTAATAAAGACATTGCCTTAACAATAGTTCTGTTACTGTAAGTCATTGATATAAAAATAAGGATATGTTGTATGATTGCCAATGAGACAACTATGCAGCAGAGTCCAAATAACATGGATGTAAGCAACTATAGATTACTGTACAGCCTTCAACAATGACCAAAACCCAATTTTCTGGTTTTTAAAGGTGAAAGTTGAGATGAGGCCATTCAGTCAGCTCACTTTGAAATTTCAAGAATAAGATACCAGTATCTGAAGCAGAGATGTAAATGATATGAAAATATTTAATTCAGGGAAAATAAAAATGTACATTCTATATTTTTTCATGTTATATATTTGTTCTGATGAATAAAATATTGGTTGGACCATTGTAGATTTATATTAAAATATTTTCCATATTAATCTCTATGTTTCTTCTTAAACAAGAACAGAAATCTGACTTAAAGCCTCCGGCTGATGTCAAAGTCATAGGTTTACATCATAACATGCATAGAAATGATGTGTAATATTCTATATATATGGTTTTCAAAACAGAAATCAGTGTATTTGGGTTTGTTTTATTATTTTTATTTTAGGGTATAGTAATTGGTACAGGGGAAAATTCTAAGTTTGGACAGCTGTTTAAAATGATGAAAGAAGAAGAGGTTTGTCAACTTATTTTTAGCTCAACTAACCCTAAGTGAGTTTTTCTCATCACTTGGTGTCTGTCGTCTGTCAGCGTCTGTTAACTTTTACAAAAATATTCTCCTCTGAAACTACTAGGCCATATTTAACCAAACTTGGCTACAATCATCACTGTGGTTTATAGTTTTAAAATTGTGTTTTATGAACCTGTCTGCCAACCAACATGGCCAAAAATAGAGCATAGGGGTAAAAGCAAGTTTTGTCTATTATCTTGAAAACCGCTATAGATATAAAAAAACTGATAAGAGCAAAAAATGTTTTTTCATTGTTACCTATTATTTAGATATAAATAGAGAGAAACTTTAAGAACAAAAATGATCAGCAATACAAGATCTACAAATTAGTCAACATGGCTGAAATTGTCCAATGACTCTTTATTGGAGTTATTGCACTTTAATAAAGACAATTTTTACCATATTTTTGTGTTTTTGCCATGTTTTTTAAAAACTATAATAGATAGAGAGAAATTTGTATTACCAAACATTATCAGCAAAACAAGATCTACAAATAAGTCAAGATGACTGAAATTTTCAGTCGAATTTTTAATGTAGTTATGGTCTTAAATGATAATTTTTTACCCATTTAAAAACTATAATAGATAGACCATTTTAAATAGCAAAAATGATCAGCAATACAAGATCAACAAAAAAGAGACTTTTGTCATGAAAATTTTATTCTAGTACACATTGTTGGAGAGTGTCCATTGTTGAAGATGCACATAGACCTTAGTGGGCGACACAGGCTCTCTAGAGCCTCTAGTTACAATAAATCATCAAAAGTAGATGAGTTTACTGCTTTTGCTATGCCAACAACTGGATTTTACTGAACTTTAAATCCACATATATATTGCGTTTAAAGTAAGATGGCTGTCCTTGAGAATTCCCCAACCCCTGAAAATTGGGATACTTTATAGAGAGTAAAGTTATTGACACAGTCCAATTACTCATAAGTTTAACTTGCTTTTACAGTATATATAAAATTGTTCAGTTTCTTACTGAAATAGTATATTAAACTAAATTTATTAAACTGACTAAAATAAAATTAACAAAAGGAACTGAACGTGGTATTAACCATAAAAAATGGATCAGAAAAGAAAAAAACATGAGAGATAAAATTCATGTATCACATCAGATATAAAAATAGCACTTGCTTTTAATAGAATGTAATAATGTGACGTGTCATTTCAATATTGTTTAAGGTAGTTGATTACTTAAAGTTGTTAGTTTACACCACCAATAAAAAAATGAGATTATACAGATGTGCCAAAAAAGATATCTTTATTCTTAGCAATTTTTCAGTATACTCTAAAAGCAGGTTTTTTTGTTAAGAGTTTTTAAGATTCTAGGAAATAACTTGACTTAAAATTTTCTGCAAAAGTGGTTAATTACATAATTGTGTTTTATTTTAATTTTATAAAGCATAAATCTTCCAGGATACACAGAAAAAAGTTTGCTTTTACAAAGGTTTCACTGGTTATGTAAAAACAGACTTTATGACTTAATAAATGCTACAAGCATGTGCATCATATTTTATAATATTATTTTCAGGTTCCAAAAACTCCCTTACAGAAGAGTATGGACCTACTAGGGAAGCAGCTGTCATTTTATTCATTCTGTATAATAGGTGTTATAATGCTGTTAGGGTGGCTACAAGGACGAGGTTTACTGGAAATGTTTACTATCAGTGTCAGGTAATAATTGGTGTTATAAAGCTGTTAGGTGTTTATTTCACAAATTTTCAATTGATTGAATCTCTGGAAAATAAAAAATACAGGTATAATTTTTTCAATATTAAGGAGCAGTTAAATGGGTCTTCTAAATGCATACAATATTTGATCCAAAATGGAAATAATGCCTAATTATGTATACTTTGCCTAATCTGAAAACTTATTAGAGGTATTTGAGATTATTTTCGTTTATTTATTAAACCTTAGATCCAGGGGTATATTATTTTATATACATTGTACTAGTTTCAATGCAAGATGTTATTATTACAGTCAGTTTAACACTTTATGCTGCATAAATAGTTTCAGTGCAGTTTAAGTTTGATTGCAATGCCAGAAAGCTTACCAGTTATTATGATATTATCTTTACCTATCTGTCAAATGAGACATGATTTTTCTGTTTCAGTTTAGCTGTAGCTGCTATACCTGAGGGCTTGCCAATTGTGGTGACTGTTACTCTGGCTCTTGGTGTAATGAGAATGGCTAAAAGAAAAGCTATAGTCAAGAAATTACCAGTTGTTGAAACATTAGGTACAAGTCAATTTCTATAACAAATATTGATAAACAAGCAAATTATCATATTGCATGCAGAATTTGATCTGTATTCATTCTCCTTTTGTATTACCTAGTTCTTCCAAGATTTGTATTTCATTTTAATTTTGTATTACTTTAAAATGTATTATTTTCTTTTAATATTCTGTAGATTTAATTACTCTGTATAAAAAAAAGATGTGATTGTCAATGAGACAACAATCCACCAGAGACCAAATGACATAGATGTAGCTATAAGTCAACAAATTACCTTCAACAATGAGCAAAAACCATACTGTATAGTAAGCTATTAAAAGCCCTGACATGACAACATGTAAAACAATTCAAACAAGAAAATCAACAGCCTGATTCTTGTTCAAAACAATAAACAAAAAACAAATATGACAGCAACAAAGGACAACCACTTAATACATACTCTGATCTATTTATCACAATTATGAATTTGATTAAGGCATATATCATAAATATTGATTTAGGTCATTTAAAATTTTTAAAGAAATTGTGCTTATTAGACAATTGAAAGAATAAATAAATGATATTCATGTAATGGAAAGAAAATAGATTATGAAATTTCGAACGTTTCTGGACAACGGTTTGCAGTACACTTGTTATCAATTATACAGCATTATGCATTTTTCTAAATAAATGATTTAAATGTTCTTAAGATCTTTCTTCTTGCTAACTTTATTTACAGGCTGTGCTACAGTCATATGCTCTGATAAGATCTTACCTCTTGCTAACTTTAATTACAGGCTGTGCTACAGTAATATGCTCTGATAAGATCATACTCTTGCTAACTTTAATTACAGGCTGTGCTACAGTAATATGCTCTGATAAGATCTTACCTCTTGCTAACTTTAATTACAGGCTGTGCTACAGTAATATGCTCTGATAAGATCTTCCTCTTGCTAACTTTAATTACAGGCTGTGCTACAGTAATATGCTCTGATAAGATCTTTCCTCTTGCTAACTTTAATTACAGGCTGTGCTACAGTAATATGCTCTGATAAGATCTTTCCTCTTGCTAACTTTAATTACAGGCTGTGCTACAGTAATATGCTCTGATAAGATCTTCCTCTTGCTAACTTTAATTACAGGCTGTGCTACAGTAATATGCTCTGATAAGACAGGGACATTGACTAAGAATGAAATGACTGTTACCAGGATCTATGGAGCTGATGGTAGTCATGCAGAGGTAATTATTAGATCACAAATTACTTTCAACAGGAAAATCCTTGCTTGGTATGGGAGAATTACTGAATTGAAGGAACAGGAAAAAATGACTCCACAGAAAGTTATATAGCATTGTTTTGGATGTGAAAAAAAGTTTGTATGGTACTTATTAGTCCCCTACCGAGGATGTCGAAGGGGACTTTAGGTTTGCACTCTGGCCGTCTGTCTGTCTGTCCATCCGTCATTCCGGCAAATAAGTTTTCCACACTTTTTTTCTTCTTGCTTGAAGATATTGATTTGATATTTAGTGTATTGTTTTATAATGACAAGTTACAGATCAAGTTCGAATTTTCTTCCGGTCTGATGATTTTGTGCAGAGTTATGGTCCTTTGACTTAGAAAATTCACTAAAATAATCAGTTTTCTGCACTTTTTGTCGTCATGCTTGAAGATATTGATTTGAAAATTGGTATATAGTTTTATCATGACAAGTTACAGATCAAGTTTGAATATTGTTTCGGTCTGATGATTTCATGCAGAGTTATGGTCCTTGGACTTAGAAAATTCACTTTACAGTTTTCAACACTTTTTTTCATCATGCTTGAAGATATTGACTTGATATTTGTTATATAGTTTACACCATGACAAGTTATAGGTGAAGATAGAATTTTGTTCCAATACAATGAATTTTTTACCGGTAGGGGACTTTGTATTGCCATGCAATACTCAACAGAATGCTTGTTGAAATAATGTTAGACCTTCTGACTAGCTGGGTAGGGATGAATTGGTGCAATAAAGCTATCGGCATAATAAATGTAATTATATATATATATATCTGGGGCAAGGATCCGGAAATTTTTTCACACAATTACGGTCATTTTGAGATGACTTAAAAGTTGGTGCCCTTTTTTCATATTGTCGAAATAACACTAGATTCATAGCAACAACAAACTTGTATTGACTGTTTCATTGCATTTACTTCATGAATTTTCTTGCTATTTTTCTAAAAACTTTCAAGAACAGTTTAGGGAAGCCAACAGTTTAAATTTGAAATGATTTTAATGACTCTAAATGGTAAATTTCTCGGACATCGTTAACATTTTTTTCGAGTTTGAAGACGAAATCAAAACCAGAAGTTTTGTGACAATACTAAAGTACGAGTAATTCCAGATTCATTTCTGGGATTTGTTTTGTTTATCAAATTGACAGGAAATAACCAGCGTTTTAATTTTATTACCATTTAAAAGTGTTTGAATATAACAGATAATAGTTGCACTCGTTTAAAATACCTTGAAATCATTTTGCATTTTACAATTAAGTGTCTAGCTGCTGAATACAATTTCACGCATGCATATTACATGGTAAATAAAGCATAATGAAGACAGTTGTCATGAAATTTTAATTTCTTTTATTTAGCCTTTATGATATTAGTTCTGAGCTTGTGATCAATGTCAGGTGTGATATTGATGAAACAGTTGTAGAACATGATTGTAGATTTAATATTTCAGTAGGCCAAGAAACTATTATTTACAACAGTTGTCAAACCATAGAATTGTTTATAGAACAATATATATTGAAAAATCTTCATTCTAATATTATAAAACTTAGACTTTCATGTAAAATTTATGTGATCAAAATTTGCCTGTGTATAGTTAGTCAGTTACGGATTTGATGTTGTTACAGTCTCTGTCAAATCTTTCTATTATACGACAGATTCATTGATATCTATTTTGATTTCAGGTGACTGGTGTTGGTTATACTGCTGTTGGAGAGGTGATCTGTAATGGAGATGTTGTAACTGAACATTCACACTCTTCCATTAGTAAGGTGATTGAAGTAGGTGTAATCTGTAATGATGCTGAGATTTTACCTGAGGGTTTACATGGACAGCCAACAGAGGGAGCACTAATAGCTGCTGCATGGAAGGTAGGTTGTATTTGTTTTAAGGATCAATTATATAACCTTTGGAACTGCTACAGGGATTGGATGAGCAATAGTTGAAGTAATACCAGCCAACTTTGTTTACAGATATTCTGGAATACTTGAACCTATAGTATAAGGGCAAAGGAACATGAACTGAGGTCAGTATACATTTTCGTCAAGAATTAATGTACAGTATATGATTAAGTGAGGTATATGGCAGTCTTCATGGGTGTTTGACATTCTTTTATAGACTCAGGACGATTTAGAGCTTGACACATTGATTAGACACCTGTATATTGTATAATAAAATCTACATGTTTTATGGTTGTTTTTGTCTCTTGGTTGCTGTCTTGCTGAGGTATACCCCACATCTCATTATCTTCATACAGCACTGTAAAAGGTAATTATTTAAATCAAAATGTAATGGAAGATAAAGGATCTTTGCCAAATATTTTTTATGCATTACTCTTAATTCAGATAATAACCTTTTACAGTGCTTTAACCATAACAAATTTAACCCAGAAAAGATTCTTTTAATGATTCTGTTGAAAGATACAATATTAAAATTCCATATGTAATACATTTTTTTGAATATTTTGTAATTTAGTGATTTAATGTGATTTAATTGGATTGTCTCTCTTTAAGTACCTTTATTACCTCCTTATATTTTTACCTATTTCAGCTGAATATCCATCATATACGGGACTTGTATTTAAGACTCGAAGAAATGCCATTTAACTCTGACACCAAGTTTATGGCAGTTAAGTGTACACCTAAATATGGAGAGGTGAGTGTTTCTATATTTCTGTACACATTGACTTGTGTTATAAAATTAAAGTTCATGGTGATTTAAGAACTTAATAAATTTTTATCTGTAACTTGAACATTTTTTGCCTTTGATTTTGCCTTTGATATTCTCTGAAACATCATACTACCAGCTCGTGAGGAAACACAAAAATATCACGCATTGACAATTGAAACATGACTGTAGATTGATCGTGGAAATATTGATAAACAAAATACATTGTAATGGCAGATTTAAAGATTTTATCCGAAATCATCTCAATTAATATATTTTGATATATGTATTGACCAAGAACAAAGCCTGTGGTCAGTATAAGTCTGTTGTATTGTTATAGGCGTAAATTGACTCAAATAGTCAGGTTACAGGGTTCATCATTCTTTGATATTATTATCAAACTATTTATTTAAATATCAGGCACATCATTTTCTAAAAGTTTTATATTTACTCTTTATTGTCAACTAAATGTTTTGTTGATCAGTGTTTTTCTTAACTTTTTTTTACTAGGTCTTGTCTGTCTTTTTCTTCAAATTAAGATTTTTATTACATCCTTGTTCATTTTCTACTCCTTGCATTTGATGATATTTTATCTTGCCCCATGCGCATGTCCACATCTGTACCTTGATCTAATAAGCTAATTGCTCCATAACCATTTTTGTGCAGATGGATCTAGGAGAATCAAACCATGCACCATAGAATTTAATTGGTTTTTTTTCGTCATTCAGTTTCATGAGATATCTTAAACATTTTGTGGTCTACATTTATGTAAATTTTTATCCTAAAGCATTTGGGACAGTTAGACAGTATTTAAAGTAAAGGAGGTTACCCTGACCAACATTTCATGCTTCATTGAGCCTAATTGTGTATTACTTCAGAGTTAAGCTCTCGGATTCTAAGTGACTTACCGTCATAAAACTTGGTATGGGAAGGTTTTAGGTGTTGGTAAGCTGTGAAATGAAGTTAGTAATACTGTATTAGGATACAACTGGGAAACTTTTACAGCTGTTCATCTAAGCAAGTCATTTTGAACTGCATTGTTTTATATGCTTCATTAGTTTTAGTTAAGTTTTACATCAGTATGCTCTTTTAAATGTTAAGTGACTTAGTAATGTAGTTTGTAAATGGAATGTATCCTGGAGAATCTGAATAGCTTCTTATCATAGTCATTTCTTAAGGCTACATTGACTTCAGGGAAGTTTTACATCAACTTTAGGTACATTTGTAATGAATGAAATATATGGTCATTTAAATTTGATTCTTGAATCTATCTAGGAGTCTGTCAAATTTTATGGCCAAATGATGCCAGTCAGACCTAGATTTAAGGTTTTGGTGAATTTTTTGCATCTAAATTAAATTCTTTGAAATTATTGACCTACAGTAATGTTAATCATGTTAATTGTTAATTAAATGCATCTTAGAGAGAAATAAAGTCTTGTAACCTTGCAAATCATACTTGGTATATTTGTAAATGTTGATGCCAGTTCAGTTTTTCCATTCTGTGTAACCAACAAATAATATAACTTTATAATTTATCATAACTATGAATGATTTTAAGAAGATGATTTGGGGAACAAGGCAACTATTAAATTTAATTTTAGATTAACTTTGTGATAAATATATTGTTATTGTGCTGAAAATTTCACTTATCTATTTAGTAAATGCATGTTATTAATATTCAAATGGCATGAAATATTGCACACCCCAATACCTTTTAATTTTTGCTAATCCAAGTTTATTTCAAATTCAAAAATGAAATAAATTTTTCCAAGACATTTTGATCAAAATTTCAATTTTTGTCATTTTATGCTGACATATGATGAAAAGTAAGACAATCATTGATATGACATTTTCTACAGGTAACGATTGGTCTTTCAAAATCTTATTTGTAGATCTTTAATTTTTACTCTGAGACTTTAAGGTAAATATCAGCCATTTTTAAACCATTCACTGAGCATTCCCTAAAATATTCTTTTTGTCAAACTTGACAACTAATGAAGATGACATCCATTACTGTGAATAGAACATACAGGTAAAGTCTTCCAAAAAATAAGTGAAAAAATCTACAAGCAAGTCACCATTATTCTTTGGGCAAATAAGAATTGTTGATCTCTTGACCTCCTTTACAATTATGAAAATGATGGGTGTCGTCCCGAATTTGTTGGAAAAATAAAGAATAAAGCATTCTCTCCAGAATCCTGAAAACTTAATCACTAATTCCTGAGTCTCAACAAGTGTAAATCCAGAATCGCCCCAAAATAGACCCAATCCTGATGTCCTGAAAAAGGTCCTTCTGCCCATCTTAGAATGGGATATGACTATTACTGAAAATAGAGAATTTGACCAAAATAATGAAATTTGATTTGTAGAATCCTCTAAAGGGCTAGTTGCTATGGAAATATTTGATATTTTAAACTGCTTTTCAACAATGATTGATGGCAAACAGTGATGGTACATATTAACATTTAAGAAGAATAAAAATAAACAAACTTGAAATAATTTGTTTAGTGAAAGTGCCTTTACATGTTAATATCCCTTATTGAATCAATATGAAGTAAAGTAATTAAATATACTTTTACTAGGTGTGATACAGGCTTCGTAGTCTTGGAGTCTCTTATTAATTGAAAATAAAACTTTTGATCAGTTTTTAATGCACAATTATGCTGTGCTTGTAGCATGGTATAGAGGTATGGGTTTAATTTTTTACCTTTCTGCACTTGTTGTCTGCATGCACTGTGACATGTTCTATAGGAATCTAACATCAATTTGCATGATATTACTTAATTATCATATAGATTATATACTGTAAACCAACTAATTTGAATGGATACTTTTATTTCTGATTATCTCTTTCCAGCCGATTTTGAGACATTTTATTATCGAGATTTTCTAACTTTGTTAGTATATTCATATAAGGGAGGATTAAGATTTGACATATTGCATCTACTAAATATTTGCATAATTTCTTCTACTCTGTTGAAAAAAAATCGCCCTTGAAAATCAGTTGGTTTATAGATATGTATTTATGTTACTGGACAGTAAACAGTTAGAAACAGAGAAAATTTCAAATATCTATTTTCATCCTAGAGTTTTAGTTAAAATTTTTTTTTGTTAGTTTCTTACCTAATACCAATTTCTTTGAAAATACAAAGATACTAAATTCTGTCAAAAAACTGTGCATGCATCAGATTATTAGTAAGAACATTTAGGCGAGTGGTCATTTAGAATATCTTTACGATACCATTATGTCATTCAGTTGTTTTTTTAACAAACTTGTTCATTTCTACTTTAATCATTTTAATGGAAAGTCATGCTTTAGTGTTGAGTTGATAAACTGTCTCTATATAGTATCTCAGTAAACAACACTTGCATGCTAGTGTACTATAGGGAGTTTTTCTATTGTAAATGAAAGGATTTTGTTATGACATACATTACTTTTTCATGAAACTAATTGCTGTAATTTTTATCTTTGGATGATTTAAGATACATAATGTTTTACTCTTCCATATAAAAGTACCTCTTAGAAGAGAAACTTTAGGACAATATATAGATATTATTTATCTTCAAAGAGAAGTTCATAATGGTGCACATATATTAGCATGCAGGTCCCAGTAGATCTTTATTGCTGGTCAACTCTTAGTCTCTTTGGTGTATTTCTTGTATCAGAATTGTTTGCAGAAGCTAAAGTAAATGTTTTTGATTGGATTATTTAGTTAATTTTTAAATGACCCAAAATAGACAAAACTGAAAAAAAATTAGTTCAAAATTTAGTCAATTAATTATAGAACTATTATAGAATGTGTCATTGAATTGGGTTTACATTGTCATTGTTAATCATTTGTCTAAACATTTTGTCAATTTTTTTCATGTATCGAATTAATTCCAGGGTCGTTATCTTTTGTTCTTGTTAAATTTTATTGTAGGGTAGTGAACTTCCTTCTTTAGTTTCATGACATACCTCATAGTTTTATGACATACCTCATAGCTTCATGACATACCTCAAACCTATTAATTTCCACAGATATATTGATGTGCAATTTCACTCTTTCCTAGTGGCTTTTCCTCCACCTTTGCACATATGAATCTGTCTGGGTTTCATTAAACCATTATTATTTAGTATGAATCTGTCTGGGTTTCATTAAACCATTATTATTTAGTTTTAGAAAAAAGAATTTTGAAAGATTGTCATACAATTTGAAGACTTTGCACACTAAAATTATTTATCATTGAAAGTGCCAGTAATCAGAAATATGACAGTCCTTTCTTATTTTCTTCAGTTCATATGTTTTTTCTTCTTTTCCCTGTGATTTTAAAATTTGATATTTTGCACTACCTTGGAGGTAAACCCATTTGTATTTCTCATTCTTTGTAAGCTCTTTAAATGAAACAGAAAACCAGCTGATTTTTCAAACTGAATCCAAAATTAATACTATGTGAAATGACAGTATATCTTGTATTTAAATGTGGAACCCAAGGATACTGTTACAATCCAATATGCACAACAAAATAGTTTAATTCGCTGTACATTCCTTTATGAAAATAAATCATGTATTAAAGTTGTCTTCCCTGATATACAATGTACCATAGTTTTAAATTTTTTAATCAGTGAACATTTTTTTGGGGTAAAAATGTTGTTACCGTAAAGTTAAAATCTATTTTTGTTTTTTCTTGCAATGAAAAATCTTGCAAATAAATGCTGGTTCTGCATTCATTTAGCTAATATTAGTGAAAACTAGACCAATCATTTGCAGCTATTTGCAATAAAAAAATAGTTTAAACCCCTGATTTACCTTAAAATTTATGTGTTTTAAATAACAGATTATTGTGTTAATGTAATTTTAGACAAAAGAGTACATGTTCTTTGTGAAAGGAGCCCTGGAAAGAATTCTAAATAATTGCAGTAAATTTTACAACCAAGGAAATTTGGAAACATTAACAGAAAAGCGTATCCTTGAATACAACCATCAGGCATCAGTCATGGGGAGTTCTGGTTTGAGAGGTAATAGAAGGATATCAATGTTTCAGTGTACAACATTCCATTAACCTTTACTTTATCTGATATGATAGAGGCAGACAGTTTTGAAAGCTGAATATATATGAATTGGCATATGAAGACTGAAATGGGTTTACAAAAAAATAGCCTAACTGTGCTTGGTCTTTATTGTCTGTGGAAGCTGAGTCATTAATTTTATTGCATGATTTATAAACTGTTTATTTGCGTAGAAATGTGGATTTCAGATTGTATTAGTCCTAAGTATCAATCTGATTACATTGAAAGTGATGAAATCAAAGTAGAGTATTCTAAAGAAGATTTTCAACCAGATGCTATTCAAGAATTGAGATGAAATTATATAAAATATGGAGATGTTGTATGGTTGCCAATGAGACAACCAGAGATCAAGGACAAGAATGTAGATATGATATAGTCTATTTTTGTCATCAGTCATTCTGTTAGAACACGTCTTTTTGATTACCGGTACTTTAAAAATCGTTTTTTTTAGAAAATGAATATCAATACATTTTGTAATTGTTAATTGTAAACTACTTACAGTATTAGCCATGGCTTATGGACCCAGTATGAACAACTTGGTGTTTGTTGGTATGGTTGGTATCATTGATCCACCTAGAGCTGGAGTAAAGCAAGCCATTGAAGAGTTAATATCAGGGGGCGTGGCTGTCAAGATGTTGACCGGTGATGCAGAAGAAACAGCTAAAGCTATTGGTATGATTTGTGATTATTTAATCATAGTTCTTAAATTTAAAATCCCAAGGGTTGACTGGGGTATCAAAATTAAATATGATCATCCTTTCTTCTTCTGACTGACAGTTAAGTCTTTGCAAAGTGGGGTGTCTATTTGGCTGTGGCAGATGTATAAATTCACAGCCAATCATAATGGGGACGTTAAATCAGATGCCTCGTGTAGATAGATTGACACACTCTCTGCACCTGAAAGAACCCTTTCAACAACTCTTTGAGGGTCTGTAGGCAGCCTGTTGCAAGGAGTTAATTTCTGTCCGTATCCAATATACCCTCATTTTACAGTGGCATTTAGGAGATAACTGTATTGTATTTTAAGCTCTGACGGCATCAATTGGTGATTTGATGGTCGCAAATTAAGCGGAGCTAGTAAACGGGTATTTGCGACCATCAAATCACCAATTGATGCCGTCGTAGCTTAAAATACAATATTGTTATCTCCATTCTAATGAAACTGACAGAAACAACTTCAAATCATACATTTAAAATCTGTCATATGTCGTCTGCACTTGCGCGTATGTTTTCATAGCATCCATTGTGAATTGATGCCATGAAAATTGGTGACGTTATCCAATCATAATGAACGTTACAAACGATGTTGCATTAGAATTTGAATTTCCCATCCTTCACTGTGGTCCAACCCTATTGCAGGACCTACTTATTGTATTAATTGTTAATTTGATCTCATCCTGAACATGCATGAAATATTAGTCACTGGACACAAATCAAACATCAATCAATCAATCATCATCTTTGAAATTGATTTATTTATTAAGATATTATATGGTGAATGTAAATTGAAAGAGATATGCTGACCTAAATTTGTCAAATTGAATTGTGAATGTAAATGATTTTAACACTTTTTGAGGAAATTGAAGATAGTTCTTCCCCCCTTCTTATTATCTTTGACAACCAACAAACAAACAAAAGATACAGATTACAATAAAAAAACTCATTAAAAAAACATAAATTTCTACATGTACATGAAGTTCAAGTACAGGTAAGGTACATTAATTTCATTAACATAACCATGTTTGTGTAGGCCAGTGAGTACAGCAAACTTTCTTATTTTCCCAGATACTTTATTTCACGTTCAGCCTTTCATAGCTGACTTTGTGGCAATTTCAGAGCATGAAAATTCCCATTTCCCGTTTTCCGAGGAAAGTAAAATTTTGCACAGTAAAGTCGTGTTTGAATCGGTATTTATCGTCGGGATAGTTCTTTTTTACGGTTAATAAAGTTAACCACTTTACGAAAGTGCGTTGGTATCTTTTGGTAATCACATAGATCAACTATTACCGGATGTAAAATACGTTTAACCAGTTCAGGAGCAATGCTCTCATAAACCAGTTACTTTCTGCACTGGTTTACGATAGCTTATAGGTTCATCGTTTCACATACAGAGTTTCGTAGGGTAACAGTTGTGGTTGTGCGGTTGACGCTGGATGCTTAGATATGAGCTTGTTAAACTATTTTGCTTCTTCGGGCAAAAGAAAACTTGATATAAATGGAAAGGTTCTTGTAGTATTTGAGAATATTTGGGAATGTCATATCACAATGCCACATAAGATGCCATTTAAGGTGACCATCAAAAGGTAGTACTATGAGCTTTGTTTTTGTTGAAAATGTGAGTGATTCAATTCCTTGTTGGAAAGTAATTGTCAAGATGAAGAACAGCAATAAAAGCACTGTTCCTTTGAAATATTCAAGGCTATTTCTAAATATTTTAAAGGGATGTTGACTCCTGTCTCAAACACTTCCATCATATGATATATCATTCTTTTTTCAATATTTATGAAATTGAAAGGTGAACACTTGAAGAAAATCTTTAGATAAAAAATGATATAAAAGTTCTGTAAATGAATTTTTTATTGAATTGGATTGAAAACAACAATACAAATCATGAAATGAGACAAAACAAACATTTCCCCAAGCATCTAAATCACCTCCAGGTATGCTCAGAATGCAGGATTTTAAAGTTTCAAAATTTTCTTTTGGAGGGGCATGCCCCCAACCCCCCTAGCATGTTCAGCCAGCTTCGCGGGCTTCACACGGGGATAATGAAATTTTAGCTGGGAAAGTGAATTTTTTTTTTCACTAACACAAGGGAAAGCAAGCCTTGAAAAAATTCTTCATCCCCTGAATTTATTTTAGTGATTTTCATCATTTTCTTGATGTATTTATATAATGAAAGATCCATGTTTTACATATTACCGACAATTTATATTCGTTTTATTTTTCTCCTCGTAAAAAAATAATTAGAAACCTAATTCAACATATGATAGCATGTCTTATATTGTATGTTTTAACTTTCAACTAAATGTAATACTAGCAGTAGTATTGTTGAAATGCAAAGATTTCTTTCATTCTTAGTATTTAATTTTATTTCAGCTGCTAGACTAGGATTGTATAATGCTGGAAACAGATGTTTGTCTGGTAAAGAAATAGAAAACATGGATGCAGATGAATTGTCAAGGGTTATAGACAGTGTTACTGTTTTATATAGGACAACGCCTAAAAATAAAAATAAAATTGTTGGGGTATGTAAAAATGCAATGATCTTTTCATAGTCATATAAGATATCTGTGTGCTTTTTCCATTTCAAGTCAAATGTATTTTACTCTGTGGAGTACTATCTCAATTTAAGATTTTAAGCATTTGGTGAAAGCATTCAAAATTAATAATATCTAGTTGAAACTGAGAATGATTGAACAAAGCCAAACACTTTTCACATATCAGAACATTTTGAGAGGTCCTTAGTATTTAGATGGAATGTTGTAGGCAAAATTTATCAAACTACCCAATAATACCGTAATAAAAAAGGAGATGTGGAATATACATCAATGAGACAGCAGCCTAACAACTAATATCGAAATGACTGTTTGAAGTAGGTGTGGGAAGATGCTAAGCACAACAATGTATGCAACTTGTAATTCATTGAGAACATAATAGTATGACATGTGTAACTTGACCTTAACTTCATTTTATGGTTCAGTGGTTTAGATGTAGCATTACAGTCTTAATGATTATTGATTATTTTTTCAATTAAAAGCAAGATGTTCGTTTCCACACTTTTCCAAATATTGATTTGAATTGTTCATAGTAGTTTTGTATTTTAATTGAAATGAAATTTTGAATGAAAACAAAATAATTGTAATAGGGGAGATAAATCTGTTATTTTCCAGGCATTAAAACGAAATGGTCATGTTGTTGGGATGACAGGTGATGGTGTGAATGATTCTGTAGCTCTGAGAAGTGCTGATATTGGTATAGCTGTTGGTTCAGGGACAGATGTATCAAAAGAGGCAGCAGACATGATTCTTGTGGATGATGATTTCTCTGTTACACTGTAAGTTTCTTATAAAATTGATCTTAAAATGTAGAGTTTTTGTACAGCAATAGGAAATATGTGAAACAGTATAAAATGGATGTATGTTTGTACTATTTATTTTATATTATGAATTAGTATGCTACTCAAAGGTCTTATCTTCATTCTTCTTCTACTGCTGAGTTACAACTAGGTCACTTTTGGGTGTGTGCATGAATAATTTTGAAAAAAGATATTAAGATAAAGGTACTATACATGTATTTAACAGTGAGGGTTAAAAACAAATGACTACACAGTAATTTTAATGCTGGAATTTATACATTTTAAATCTTCAGCATGAAATGGTAAAATTGATCAGAATAGTAAAAACAACAAAGAACAATGTAATGTTTTTGTGGTGTATTTAAATAATATATACTTTAAAAACACATGATCAACTGAGGTTAAAGTTCAGACAAGTTTTCTTCTGAAATTTCTTACTCTGTTCTTAATTTGATTACGCTGTTTACAGAAAAGAAATATTCTTTCATTTTAGGTCAGCAATTGAGGAAGGAAAATCTATATTTTATAATATAAGAAACTTTGTCCGATTTCAGCTTAGCACGTAAGTATATTTGTTATTTTTAGACTACATGGAAATATTTGGAATGGGAGGTTTGAAAAAAAGAATTGGCAAAACATAAGTTTCAGCATAGCTAATAATAAGAAATGATAATAAATGAAAATCTGACTGTCTTCATTGATTTTTTTTAAATATTAAAAGATATTAAATTCAGTTTTGTGGCTTTCTTACCATGTCAATATTTTTCATTTTCAGTGATGATTCCTTATTGCAAAATTTTTGAATTTATGGAAAACTTTGATTTTGACAGGAGTATAGCAGCTTTGTCTTTGATAGCAGTGTGTACTGTGTTCAAGTTACCTAATCCATTGAATGCTATGCAGATATTATGGATTAATATAATAATGGATGGACCACCTGCACAGAGGTTTGTATTGACAAATTAGTTAACGAAAAACTCATGAGTAATTAAAATAATAACGTATTAAACAATAAAGATCAACATTAACAAAACATATAGTGACATTAACAATGGTGAAATGGAAAATGAATTGTGTTAACATTTGAAGTAATTAAACTCTGTAAATCATCAACAAGTATAATATGATGAATATTGTCTGAGCGTCTAAATTACGTTTTCTGGACAATATCTCTTGGTTCATAAATAATAGCTTTACCAAACTTGATTTGATAATGCTCAATGAGGTAAAGTAGATGCAGTTGATTTCGAGGTCACTAGTTCTAAGGTCAAGGTCACAGAAGTTATTGGTAGACTGGAATAGCGGCAACATTTTTGTTTATCGGATATGTTTTGAACCTTTACCAAACATATGTCCAATCTTCAACAAACTTATCTTTTAAATGCCCATTGGAAAGAACATGACCATATTGATTTATGGGTAAGAAAATCAAAGGTCAACATCAATGCCTATAAATAGACAGCAATTTTGGGAAACATTTTGCATACTGACAACATCCTTTGTACCATGAATCTGACCTTGACAAATCATTTTTAGATGATGCCACTTGGGGTGAAAAAGACAGAAAATTAATTTGAAATTGAAGTTTGAAATTTGTAGCAGACTTTACAGTCTTCATCATCAAAACAAAACAAATAAAAAAAACAGTTCCCAACACACAAAAAAACAATTTCTTCCACTACAAATCTGTAAAGATTGTAACTTTCATAGCACGTCATGTATTTTATATAAAAAGATTTCACAGAAGAAAAGGTATAAAAGATTTATAAAAGTAGTATGGTGTAAAATTTGTCATCAAACACTATTCAAAGTAACAGGTATGACCTGATTGCAAAAGTTTCACTAAGCAGTTGATGTAATGTATAAAGTAGTATGTGCTATTAAGGGTTCTATTACTCTTAAAATTTAATTATTTCAAATAGATATTAATTGAGTTTCAATATTCTTAGTATAAATATATTATGCCATATTGTACTTAGGCTATCAGGTAATAAATATTACTGGAATCAAGCTTTTTTACCAATAATGCTGATTTTGGAATACATTTGTTTTTTTGAAATTTTATCCTGTTATCTAAAACAGCAGTAATGTATTTACAGTTTTATGGTTTCACTGTGATATAATGATGTCTAATGTTGATACTTCAGCCTTGGTGTAGATATAATGATGTCTAATGTTTATATTTCAGCCTGGGTGTAGATATAATGATGTCTAATGTTTATATTTTAGCCTGGGTGTAGATATAATGATGTCTAATGTTTATATTTCAGCCTGGGTGTAGAACCAGTGGACCATGATGTAATCAAAAGACCCCCAAGGAAGGTCAAAGATCCTATAATTACAAGAAGTCTGATAGTTAATATACTTATATCTGCTACTATCATAGTCTCAGGAACACTCTGGGTATTCTGGAGAGAAGTAAGTACATAGGAATGGAAATTCAAAGGACCAAGTAAACCATCGCCCCTAAAATTGACTCTTTCCACTAAAATTTTTTTTATTTCTGCACAATCAGGAACTGTATATAACTGTTTGCTACTGAAAATACAAGGCAAAAAAATAACATATAAATAAAAGTAGAAGTGATATGTGTGTCATTGAGACAGCAACCAGGACACAGAAAGCCACAAATAATATTTTAGAGGTTGACATACAGTTTTCCACTATAGACAAGGATCTATACAAAGTCAAGTTCTATGTTGACCAAGGTTTAGACAAAGTTGTAAATAACAGAGACCACCATGTATAACTAAGGCAACCATTGATGAGGGTCCTGACTCTAGACAGGCACAATAGCTTGTTGTAAATAGATTTAACAGAGACCACCATGTATAACTAAGGCAACCATTGATGAGGGTCCTGACTCTAGACAGGCACAATAGCTTGTTGTAAATAGATTTAATAGAGACCACCATGTATAACTAAAGGCAACCATTGATGAGGGTCCTGACTCTAGACAGGCACAATAGCTTGTTGTAAATAGATTTAACAGAGACCACCATGTATAACTAAGGCAACCATTGATGAGGGTCCTGACTCTAGACAGGCACAATAGCTTGTTGCAAATAGATTTAACAGAGACCACCATGTATAACTAAGGCAACCATTGGTGAGGGTCCTGACTCTAGACAGGCACAATAGCTTGTTGTAAATAGATTTAACAGAGACCACCATGTATAACTAAGGCAACCATTGGTTAGGGTCCTGACTCAAGACAGGCACAATAGCTTGTTGTAAATAGATTTAACAGAGACCACCATGTATAACTAAAGGCAACCATTGGCGAGGGTCCTGACTCTAGACAGGCACAATAGCTTGTTGTAAATAGATTTAACAGAGACCACCATGTATAACTAAGGCAACCATTGGTGAGGGTCCTGACTCTAGACAGGCACAATAGCTTGTTGTAAATAGATTTAACAGAGACCACCATGTATAACTAAGGCAACCATTGGTGAGGGTCCTGACTCAAGACAGGCACAATAGCTTGTTGTAAATAGATTTAACAGAGACCACCATGTATAACTAAAGGCAACCATTGGCGAGGGTCCTGACTCTAGACAGGCACAATAGCTTGTTGTAAATAGATTTAACAGAGACCACCATGTATAACTAAAGGCAACCATTGATGAGGGTCCTGACTCTAGACAGGTACAATAGCTTGTTGTAAATAGATTTAACAGATACCACCATGTATAACTAAAGGCAACCATTGATGAGGGTCCTGACTCTGGACAGGCAAATTAGCTTGTTGCTGATTTAAAATGCCTATTGTAGAAAACATTTTTATAAGGAAAGCTATAAATTGTCACTGTATTATAATGATATCTTGTAGTTTAAACCCTCTGTCATTATGCCGTTGTAGACTCAAATGTGAAGTGTGCAATCAAATTCCTGTAAATAGTGAATGCAAAGAGAAAACATTTCCAAAATAAATACTTTAGTCATTGAACTTCTTCATTTACAATATCATTTTTTTATAAATTAAGTTATATCCTCACATTGAAAGAAAAAATACTAAAACCTTTTTGAATTGACAGTATTATAGGGTAATGTTTCAGCTGTTATATTCTATTTATATGATTTTGATTATACACATAACACAAAGCTCTTCTGCTTTGACACAGTAGTAACTGCTAATATATATGTTGAAGAGATGCTTCATTATATCATGTTTACCTTGAAGAGATACTTAATTATATCATATTTTCTTTTTAGATACTGTGATTATATCACAGATATTGTGTTAAATCATTAAGATAAGCAAGATGCAATGACACATAAATAAATGCTATCATTTCCACAAGAAATGTAATGTTGACTTGCATTATGTTAATAGCTATACTTAAGCTTACTGGAAAATTAAAATCATCACAAATAAAATTTGATGTGCGGTAAATAGTAATTTTCAATTGGTTGCAATAAAATACTGTGATACATGTAAAAGAAACCTTGTAATTTCCAGTGTCAATGAATACGTAGAAAAACATGTACAGTTCCTTGCATTTCCTACTTTATTTATATTAAAAGTCAATGCAATAAAAAAAATAACTAATCCAAAAATGAAAAATGAAAAAATATTGAACTCTTGACCTATAAACAACAGTGATAATTAACACTTGTGCTATGCTCATTCCTGAGTTGTTTAGTAACACATTCAATAATTTTCCATATTTGAATTCTTGGATTAGTTATTCTATAAATATTAATGAGACAGTAGCTAGGCCATACACATTTTACCAAAAGCAGAATTCACAATGATGCATTCAACCATAAGTAAGTGACTATATTAAATGTTGTCCAGAGCTCAGATAAGTTATGAACAACCTCATCAGAGAAACTAAAGTCTCAGAAGATTTGTTATATGTTACTTTCCGTTTCAAAACTAGTTAATACCTTTACTTTATCTGAGTTATAAAAAACTATGACTTATGTCTAGATGTTTTAAGTGTATTAATCATAAGATTAATTATTTTTCAGTTGAGTGACAATAAAATAACACCACGAGACACAACAATGACATTTACATGTTTTGTATTCTTTGATATGTTTAATGCTTTAAGTTGTCGATCTCAGGTAGGTAGTTCATAACATTAGTGATTCAGTTTTTCTATTTAACAATTTTTATGGGTTGTCTTAAAATTTGATTGTTCAAGAATAAAAGTTATGGGTTGAGAATAATTACGAAATGCAGTTTTTATATCCAGTATTTTCCAGGCCTCGTTCTATAGATCATTTATATTTATGATAGAGTGGAAAGGCAGGCATAATTTTTTCCAGTAGTCTGTCATTTATTGAGTTCAAATTCTGGTTCATGGTAGTTTATTATGAAGTTGAGGTCACATCAACTTGAACTTTAGTACACATCATCTTTATGATGTGAATGAATTAAAAAAAAAATAATAGCCAAATAAGGGTTTCGACACAGATTTCCTCGATCACTGAACATGAAAAATGTTATAGTGTGAGGAAGGCATGGTTTCTATAGACACACTGAGCCAGATTTTTAACATGCTTGTTCACAAGGTAACAGTCGGCAGGAAGACATATCACCTTCCCGGGACACATCATTCTGACTCCAAGCTAAACAGTCTTTGCTCTTGCTTCTTAATGCCGCATGCTTAGTGGAGAAGAAGCAAATACCAATTTTATTAAAGTATTTGGTTTGACCCAGCCGGTCTATTTATACAAAACATTCAAAGAAAATGTGTATTTTTTTTACAAAGTAATTCCTTCACTTCAAGAATTTATGAAATGAAACATTTTTTTCCAAAAGCTGTATATGATGAAAAAAAATGGTTTAGCTATATCAGTTTGAACTGTCGTTTGCCTTTTGAATTGGTTCATTGCAATAAATTCATGTACCTAATATTGTAATAGAGGAACAGAATTCATTCTGAAAATTTAACCAAACCACAGGAGTGTGAAATTGAGTGAAAGCCAAGCAGACACATACTCCAGGAAAGCAATCTACATGCCAAATATCAAGAAACTCATTCTGTTTGGACCTTTTAAGTTAGATCTTCTTAGAATAGACTGTTTGTAATCTACTGTTGTTATTATATAATTGTAATAAAAATAAATGGAGAATGCGACCATGGGACACAGGTGATGCCCCTGCTTGCTTATAATGTTATAAAGGGACATAACTCAAGAACAGTAAAAGTGACACCACCCAAATTCGAACTTGATCGGAGTTTTTTGGTAATAAGCATTGTGTATAAGTTTCATAACATTTGGTTAAGGCAAACTAAAGTTAGAGAATGGAAACAAAAAATTCAGCAATTTTTCCATCCATTTGTAAAGGGGAATAACTCTAGAATGGTAAAAGTGACATAACCCAAATTCGAACATGACCTGTGTTTTGTGGAAATAAGCATTGTGTATAAGTTTCGTAACATTTGGTTTAGGCAAACTAAAGTAAGAGAACGGAAACAAATTTTGCGTATGGATGGATGAACGAACAGACGGATAAGAATAACACTTAATGCCCTCTCCGTTGCTGGGGGGGCATAACAAAAAATGATAGTGCATTAACATTAATATAATTTTATTTCAGACAAAATCAGTGTTTCAAGTAGGACTATTTACAAATAAAATGTTTGTGATAGCAGTGGGAGGATCAATCATTGGTCAGCTCCTGGTTATATATTTTCCACCTTTACAGGCCGTTTTTCAAACAGAGGCACTTCATTTATCAGGTAAATATGCTCACATTTTTTTTTATTTTAATCATTTTACAGGTTTTATTAGTTTTGCTATTAAAAATTATATTTCCATGATAAAAGTGTCTCAATGAGAAAACATCAAACATCAAATGTGTTTTAGTAAGTTATGCTTTATGCGCTTGCTCTGTGTTGTGAACAGTATGATCGGTTGTTTCATATGAAAATCAGGAGATGTTGTATGTGGAAGGGCTGCCAATGAGACAACTATCCACCAGATTCCAAATGACATGGATGTAAGCAAATATAGGTCACATTACTGCCTTCAACAATTAGAAAAAACCCATGCTGTATAGTCAGCTATAAATGGCCCTGATTATATCATATACGTCTAAAAATATCAATTAAAAAAAAAAAAAAAATTCAAGAACAAAAACAAAATAAAAGTTAGATCTCTGCTTAACACTTGAACTTTTTGAACACTTTACAAAAAGTGTATGTATTCTAGCTTTAAGTAACAATCAGTGAACTTTGAAAATAATATGTTTTTAATTCTTTTTTTTCAGATTTTGTTTTCCTGATACTTTTAACCTCAAGTGTATGTGTTGTATCAGAAATAAGAAAATTTTTATTCAGGAAAAGAGGACGGTCTCTTTATGAAGAAGAAAAAGATATACACTTTATTGTGTAATCAAATTATACTGTATTTTATGTTGAATTGTAACTAAATTAGAATGTTAAAAGTTATTTTTACAAACATTCCTATTTTTTTAATATGTACAAAGTAAATGCTGTAAAACTGGTCAATATAAAAAATGTTAAAGTAGAAAGTTGTGTAGTTATGGAAACATTATAGATTTCTTGGGTTTTTACTTACTCATATTTTGCAATAGATTTTATTGGTTATTTTTCATCAACAGGTTTAAAGTTTCAATAATCTGATGAAATTATTTACTTCAGTTTATGTTGGTCTATATTTATGGATTGTGTAATTGCATTAAGAGGCTAAAAATATTTTTTAGTTATTTTCATTGGTAAGAATAGCAAAACCAAAAAATATTCAAACCAATTTTCAATGAATTGTATTATTTTTTGCATATCTGAAGTTCTTCTGAACCCAGTTACAGAAGCTTTCATGTTTACACCCCTTTAGTTATTCTCTGTGCAGACAAAACTGTACAACTAGAAAAGTTTTAAAGGGTAATAGGACCACAATTTGTAAGCATGGCAGTTTTTATTGTTGGGTTGCTATGAACTTTAACTATATCAAGCTCAGGATAAGTTTTTATAACCAAAACCATATGTATGCTCACCAATTTTCTTGCAAACTGTTCAGCTCAATTTTAATTTTATCTAGAGCTGTTTTTACAATTGTTTGGAATTAAAATCATAATCGCATAGGTGAAATATCTTTCTTTTGTGACTTTAACAAGGATTTTCTCAAAATTCCACTTGGGAAATTTTGATTTGAACAACTTGGCATTTTTTTTACAACAACTTCTTAAAAAATCAAACAAAATTGAACCACTTGCTGATATTGTAAAAGGTATGCATTGTTTTAATTGAAACATTGGTGAGTTTATTTGACTATTGTTATTTCAGAATCTTTTTTAGCTCACCTGGCCCAAAGGGCCAAGTGAGCTTTTCTCATCACTTGGCGTCCGTCGTCCATTAACTTTTACAAAAATCTTCTCTGAAACTACTGGGCCAAATTTAACCAAACTTGGCCACAATCATCATTGGGGTATCTAGTTTAAAAAAGGTGTACGGTGACCAGGCCAACCAACCAAGATGGCCACCATGGCTAAAAATAGAACATAGGGGTAAAATGTAGATTTTGGTTTATATCTCTGAAACCAAAGCATTTAGAGCAAATCTGACAAGGGTAATATTGTTTATCAGGTCAAGATCTATCTGCCCTGAAATTTTCAGATGAATGGGACAACTTGTTATTGGGTTGCTGCCCCTGAATTGGTAATTTTAAGGAAATTTTGCCGTTTTTGGTTATCTTGAATATTATTTTAGATAGAGATAAACTGTAAACAGCAATAATGTTCAGCAAAGTAAGATCTACAAATAAGTCGTCATGACCAAAATTGTCAGTCGACCCCTTTAGGAGTTATTGCCCTTTATAGTCAATTTTTAACAATTTTTCGTCAATTTCTGTAATCTTTTACAAAAACTTTCTTCTCTGAAACTACTGAGACAAATTTAACCATAATCATTATTAGGGTATCTAGTTTAAAACATTTCAATTTTGTCCAATGACCCCGCCTTCCAACCATCATGGCCGACTTGGTTGAAAATAGAACATAGGGGTAAAATGCAGTTTTTAGTTTATATCTTTGAAACTAAAGCATTTAGAGCAAATCTGACAGGTGACATAAATGTTCATCAGATTTAGCTTTATCTGCCCTGAAATTTTCAGACGAATCTGACAACCCATTGTTGGGTTGCTGCCCCTGAGTTAGTAATTTTACAGAAATTTTGCAGTTTTTTGTTACTTATTGTTTTTGCTCAGTTCTTATTATTATTAGGTCTTTCCACTTTTCTGTGGAAAGACCTATTGGTTTTCTTCTGATTATTATTATTATTATTATTATTATTATTTTTTTCTTCTTCCGCCACTTTTTTCTGACGGTGCTTTTTTGTTTCACAAGATGTCGCTTAGATTTTTTGCATATGATATCGAACAGTTATTAAGATTTTGAAACTGACCCTGTTAAGCCGAACACTTTTTATTGTAAGAGTTATCTCCCCAAACACTGTTTTTCTTGTGTACAAATCTCCTTCGCAACCGTTAAAGATTACGACAAAATTATTTCACCAATTTGCTTGTTATATCTTCAGGATCTTAAAAATAATTTTGACCGAAGCGGTCCGGAGACTACATATGGGAGTTATTTCCCCTTTTGTATTTTTAATAAGAAAAATGTAGTTGTAGCTTGTAAATCATAAGTGATAGAGACCTAGCGTCTTTTGATTTGAGATCCTTGGTCCAAAAAAAAGAAAATAGGGTCAAGGTCATTTCTAAATTTGGATTTTGGCTTATTTTCACCACTTTTCAAACACGATATAAGATATCGACAACATATTTTTACTTAATTGTTAGTTATGACATGTCGTAACACATACATATTGGTTTAAAGGGTGCGCTTACATCAAATTAGAGTTTTCTCCCCTCTTTATTTAAAAATATGTATATGGTGATATAACTCATGAACCAAATATAATTAAGATCTACGGTCTTTTGATTTGAGGTCCTTGCTTGATGACCTTGAAATTGAGCCCAAGGTCATAGGTTAAATTGACGTTCTAGATTTTGCCCTTTGCTTTTACCTCATTTGTATACATGATAAAGCCATGGGACTTTTTGCATTTAGTTGCAAGCCATATGACCTTGAAAAAGGAACCGGAAGTGACCTGTGTAAACCGGAAGTAGCTATTTTTTTTGTACTTTTTGAATGTAAAAGTATATAGAACCATATATTTTTGGAATCAGTGTCAATTAAACAGTTAAATAATACCGGAAGTAACCTTTTTCAAACCGGAAGTAACAAAGTATTTCCCTTATTTAAAAAATATTGTATAGAAACCATATATTTTTGGAATCAGCGTACTTTAAGCTATCATTTGACGCTGTTAATGACATTTAAAACCGAATTTTTACTATTTTCATATCAAAATACTTGTTTTTTTTTGGAAAGACCTTCAATTGTTCTCTGAACAATTGGTTTTTAGCTCACCTGACCTGAAAGGTCAAGTGAGCTTTTCTCATCACTTTGCGTCCGTCGTCCTGCGTCCGTCGTCCGTCGTCCGTAAACTTTTACAAAAATCTTCTCCTCTGAAACTACTGGGCCAAATTTGACCAAACTTGGCCACAATCATTATTGGGGTATCTAGTTTAAAATATGTGTCCGGTGACCCGGCCAACCAACCAAGATGGCCGCCATGGCTAAAAATAGAACATAGGGGTAAAATGTAGATTTTGGCTTATATCTCTGAAACCAAAGCATTTAGAGCAAATCTGACACGGGGTAAAATTGTTTATCAGGTCAAGATCTATCTGCCCTGAAATTTTCAGATGAATCGGACAACCCGTTGCTGCCCCTGAATTGGTAATTTTAAGGAAATTTTGCAGTTTTTGGTTATTATCTTGAATATTATTATAGATAGAGGTAAACTGTAAACAGCAATAATGTTCAGCAAAGTAAGATCTACAAATAAGTCAACTTGACCAAAATGGTCAGTTGACCCCTTAAGGAGTTATTGCCCTTTATAGTCAATTTTTAACCATTTTTCGTAAATTTTTGTAATCTTTTACAAAAATCTTCTCCTCTGAAACTACTAAGACAAATTTAACCAAACTTGTCCACAATCATCATTAGGGTATCTAGTTTAAAAAATGTGTCCAATGACCCTGCCCGCGAACCAAGATGGCCGACATGGCTAAAAAATAATACATAGGGTAAAATGCAGTTTTTGGCTCATATCTCTGAAACCAAAGCATTTAGAGCAAATCTGATGAGTATAAAATTGTTCATTAGGTCAAGATTTATCTGCCCTGAAATTTTCAGACCAATCAGGCAACCCGTTGTTGGGTTGCTGCCCCTGAATTGGTAATTTTAAGGAAATTTTGTTGTTTTTGGTTATTATCTTGAATATTATTATAGATAGAGATAAACTGTAAACAGCAATAATGTTCAGCAAAGTAAGATCTACAAATAAGGCAACATGACCAAAATTGTCAATTGACCCCTTAAGGAGTTATTGCCCTTTATAGTCAATTTTTTACAATTTTCATAAATTTTGTAAATTTTTGTAAATTTTTAAAAGTATTTTCCACTGTAACTACCGGGCCAAGTTCATTATAGATAGAGATAATAGTAAGGAGCAAGAATATTCAGTAAAGTAAGATCTACAAACACATCACCATCACCAAAACACAATTTTGTCATGAATCCATCTGTGTCCTTTGTTTAATATGCACATAGACCAAGGTGAGCGACACAGGCTCTTTAGAGCCTCTAGTTAATTAAGTCTCCCAAACGAAGTTTGGGAAGACTTATTGTTTTTGCTCAGTTATTATTATTATTATTCTTCTTCCTCTTCCTCTTCCTCTTCCTCTTCCTCTTCTGCCGCTTTTAAATTTGAACTTGTCCGCACCCGTTCTCCAAAACCGCTTGTCAGATTAACTTAGGGTTTCACAATATGTTAGACTAACATGTCTAGTGGTGCAATCAGGGTTTTGTTTGTGCAATGGGGTTTATAAAGGGGTACTTTGAGGGGCAAAAAGAAAAGAGGGTTTTACTATAGAACCCTATGGGATTTTATTTTTTTAAATTTTCAAATGATTATAAATTGAAAACCGTTTGTGATAGACACAATCTTTTTAATTGAAAATGTTATAAATGATAAAACCCATTAAATGAAATACAGGGTTAGTCCCCAGGGGTCATCCCCACCCCCTGCCATTTAAGAAAGTTCTAATATCTTGTAAATGGTCGAGATCCCCACCCCTAAACCATATATATTCTGGTTTGTCATGCTAAGATGGTTTGAATGATATACAGGGTTAGTCCCCAGGGGTCATCCCGATCCCCTGCCATTTGAGAAAGTTCTAATATCTTGTAAATGGTCGAGATCCCCACCCCTAAACCATATATATTCTGATTTGTCATGCTAAGATGGTTTGAATGATATACAGGGTTAGTCCCCAGGGGTCATCCCGACCCCCTGCCATTTGAGAAAGTTCTAATATCTTGTAAATGGTCGAGATCCCCACCCCTAAACCATATATATTCTGGTTTGTCATGATAAAGCACATCAA